TCTGATGTTCTTTGAAGATTATGATGAGAGGAGCACTATTACTGTCCTGCAAATAGGTATGAAGATCAGTTAGGATTTCCGAGTTGGAAGGCACTGACTCAGTGTTAGTGCTTTCGGGAGGAGAAGCAGGGAAGGTCTCACTGTGGAGGTATGGACCTTTTAATGTGGATAATGATACCAACACAGTGGGGGGAGTAACTTGATACTGCTTCAGGAGGTTGACGTGGCACAACTGGGTCTTCCGCCGCCTATCTGGAGTCTCAAGAACGTAGTTGTGGCTGTTTCTGCACTCCTTGATGCGGTAGGGTCCTGAAAACTTATTTTGCAATGGAGAACCTGGGATAGGAAAATATGCCAACACAAAGTCTACTGGTTTAAATTTCCTTATTTTGCTGCGTTGGTCAAAATGAGTCTTCATCCTCTCCTGAGCTTTCAATAGACTGTCATTAGCAAATTTATGTACTCTCTCTGGAAGGTGTTTTAAGTTTTGAAGAAACTGGGGCACATTCTGAGGGTCACTGAAGGTGGCATTACGTAGAGAGTCTTTAAAAGCTTTGAGAGGAGTACGGCACTTACGTCCGTAGAGCATCTCATAAGGAGATACTCCTAGAGACTCATTGGGGAGACTTCTGAAAATTCACATAATGAGATCAAGTTGTAAGATCTTTAATAGTCTGATGACTACGTTCAAGAGAGCCCTGTGAAGCAGGATGATAGGGGCTGGACAATACCTGTGTGATGTTGAACTCTTCCAGTGTCTTCTTGAAGAGATCACTGGTGAAGTTGGTGCCACAGTCACTTTGAACCTCTCTTGGAAATTCATACTGGGTGAAGATCTTCAATAGTTGTTTCACCACAGTAGCAGCCGTAATGTTCTTTACTGGAACTGCTATGGGGAATCTGGTGGTAAGACACAGGATAGTTAGTATATAGGCGTTGCCAGAACTGGTCCAGGGTAAAGGACTAACACAGTCTATGATGAGTCTGTGGAAAGGTTCCGAAGGCACCTGGATAGGAGTCAATGGAGCCTGGGGAATAGAGATGTTAGGTTTACCTGCCATCTGACATGTATGACACTGTTGCACGTAACTTTTCACGTCTTTAACCAAACCTGGCCAGTAGTAGTCTTGTCTGATTCCGTGGTAGGTTTTGTTAAAACAATAGTGAGAAAGTGCTCCGTGGGCCAGGTGTAGAATATCGGGCCGTAGGCTGGTGGAAACCACCAGTTGTTCGACATTTGCCCAATCGTCATTATCCTTCAGCTTACTGGGTCTGTACCTGCGGAAGAGTAACTGATTCTCTAGGAAGTACCCAGGGATACTGTCAGGTTGAGTCTCAGCCTGGAAGAACAATGGTGTTAATGAAGGATCCTCCCTCTGTAACCTACGGAACTCCAACCTAGTAAGATTCGGTGGTAGATTCTGATGGTCTTGAGGGACAGCGGTTGCAGTAGAGTCAGCTGGTTGCGGGCGTGCAGCTTGTGCAAGGGTGGTCACCAAAACCGGAGGAGAAACTTCATCATTTTCTTTGAACTCTGCTGAAACATACTTAAAGATGGGATTGTCTACTACAAAGTTACACACCTGGGGTTTGTCCATGATGATCAGGTTGGACGGTTGCAGATCTTCTGCCAAGTCATTGCCTAGGAGAAGTTGCACTCCAGACATGGGAAAAGGCTTTTCCCTGATGGCGACTTGGACTTCACCGGTCACGAAAGGACAATCCAGGTTAACTCTGGCGAGTGGATACGGAGTGGTAGCAGTGAGGTCAGTGATAAGGACGGTTTCCCCGGTGTAGGTGATGTTAGGCACAGCTGATTTCAATATTATTGACTGAAGAGCCGCTGTGTCCCTCAAGATCTTCAATTTGAAACGTCCCTCCGAATCTGTACCTTTGGCAGAGACAGTTTCAGGGTACAGGTGTTTGCTGAAGAGAGAAAGATTATTAACAGGAACACCAACATTCATCACAGGCTTACCGGACATAGGAGGAGTCGGTTTGGGTTTAGTAGTTTCATTATTGCCTTTGTATTGAGCCTTCCCATATTTATCTATGGTATGTCCATAGAGTTTGCAATACTTACAATACAATTGAGAGCTAGCATGATCGGTACTCACTTTATCATAACTATACCAAGACTTCTTACTGGAAGGGGATCTGGTGTTAGCCGGTGTATGAGGCTGTAGGTGTCAGCCGACTTCGCACATCTGATGTAGTCGGTTTCTTCTTTATCTGCTAAATATAAACGGACGGAAGGGGGAACACGTCTCAAGAATTCCTCAACTAGAATGAGGTTGACGAGTTCTGAAAATGTAGAGACATGTGCTGCTTCCAACCATTTCATGAAATATCTTTTCTTTGTATTGGAAAATTCTAGAAAGGTGATGGTACTTGCCTTTAGATAATCACGGAATTTTCGTCTGTAGCTTTCGGTGGAGAGAAGGTAGGCGTCCAAAAATGCTTGCTTCAGGGTCTGGTAGTCATTCTCAGACGCTAAGGTACTGAGAGTAACTGCAGCTCTACTGTGAGATGCACTCTGAGAAGGGTAGACCATTGATCTGCAGGCCAGCTAAGTTTTTTAGCTAGGGTCTCAAAAGTGGTGAAAAATACATCGATCTCTGTCTCAACGAATGGTGGCATTAACTTACTTGCATGGGAGACATTGAAACTTACGGGAAGACTAGCTGTAGCTTGTTGACGCTGAGTGTGGTGTGTAGTTTCCAAAGCGAGTTCTTGTCGACGATATTCGAGAGCACGATCAACTTGCTGTTTACTGTACTCCCGTTGCATCTCCAGGTCACGTTTTCTTGCTTCAAGCTGCTCCCTCTCCCTCTTATGGAGTAAGACAGCCTCTTGTTCCCTTTCTTCTTTCCTGAGGGCAGCCTCTTCCTTCTTTAGGGCCATCTCGCGTTCTTTTATTTGGAGAGCTTCTTTTTGTTGTTGTCGCTCAATGTTTGCTAGTTCGAGCTTCAATTTCATAGCTGCCAGAGCATGTTTATCTACAATAGAATAGTTTTCGTGAGCTTCAGAGTCAATCTTCCCTTCATCTAAGAGGTGGTCCAATATTAAATTGTGCAAGTCACTTTTGTTGGCTCCAGGGGGAGCATCTAGTTAATACTCGTGTGCAAGAGTTTGTAATTCGGTCCTCTTGGCACGACTTAAGTTCCCTATTTCACCTGCTGGATCATTACGAAAAGCTCAGAGACGAAACATGGTGAAAATAGCAAATAAATGTACAACGAATATACTTGTGGTATGGTAAGTGTCAGTAACAGGATGACGTGGCAACTGGTAACTATCCTGTGGAATTTTAATCGTTAACAATTAACATTAATTTTAGTATGGTAAATTATTAGTCAATCAAAATCGCACGAAATCTTGTACCTGGTACTCAATGTAAGAGAATAAAGGCAAGAAAATCCTACTAAATAAATGAAACCGATAGTTTCTAAAACAAATGAAACATTTAATTGTTTCAAAAGTGAATAAGGTAGTCCAAGAATGTAGGCATACCTTGCCGAGTCTCTATAGGACATAAGCACTTCCATTTCAAATACCCATTGTTTCGTGTTCTGTCTTGTGTTGATGAAATTAATACCCTATTAATGCCACCTCTTGTTCTGTCTTGTGTTGATGAAATTAATACCCTATTAATGCCACCTCACCCCATCCACCTCACTCAAATGTAGATATAAACAAAATCGGAGATGCGTAAGTTCTATTCAGTTGTGTATTTGTAAACTAAAGTCTTCGAAAATGTAATAAGTTTTACGAAACGCGCTCGTGTCGCGTCAGACTAGAAATAAAAATGAATTTTGGAGAATTGATTTTTGAATTACCTCCAACAGTGAAATGAAATTTACGAAAGATTGAGAAAATTCGTGTTAGAATTATTAATCTTACTTTTTCGGTCATATTTAATGATATATGTCTACAGGAAAGACTGCTACCAAAATATACTAATATATATATATATATATATATATATATATATATATATATATATATATATATATATAATATATTATATATATATATATATATATATACCACCTCTGGCTGGAAGAAGGGGGACCCATAGCCTCGGAGGAAACCACACATAACGCATTTTAGGGAATGTAGGTCCCCTCCAATACAGTTTCTGTGTGTTTTTCTCCTACCACCCCCTTCCCTTTTTTTTTTCCTTTATTGTGTATTTAAAGGTTACAAAACATACAAGACAAATGCCTAAAGGTAATGGATCTCTTGAAGCTCCTCCGCTTCTGGACAGGAACCGAGGACGCAGCAAGCATTTCCCCTCTGGATCGCCACACTGAGACGCTGAAATAAAAAGCTGGAAGCCCTTGGGTCTCTGGTGACGTCAATGAGCTTGGAACCCAATTCCTTGAGGAATCCCAAGGCACTCTTGCCCCAGGGGCCATACATACATATATATATATTATATATATATATATATATATATATATATATATATATATATATATATATATATATATATATATATATGTATGTATGTATGTATGTATATGCAAACAAGCCTGAACTGTCTCCAGGCATATATGCAAGTGAAAAATCACACCTTAGAAGTGACTCGAACCCATACTGCCAAAAGCAATGCATCTGATGTACAGGATCCCTTAACCACTCGACCAACATGACCGGACAAAGAGGATGGTAGCCGAGGCTAATTGCCCATCCCCTGCCGGCACTCTGTTGGTAATCTTGGGCATGGTATTTTATTAAATCACCTCATTCGTTTGGGCACACGTGAGGAGCACAAATGCGAACAAGCCTGAATGGTGATCCAGGCATATATGCAACTGAAAACAAACTGAGTATGAATATATTTATATATAATATTTATGTGCATCCTTAACTTCATAAAAATATTGGTATGAAATGTGAATAGTTGTTTCCTGGTGGTAGCATAGACCTTACAGTCACGATAATATAAGTGAGTAATGTGTGATCACTATCTGGTGGGGCCCGACAACGTACAGGTAATGTGACGATCCTCAACGCCTCTGTCAGCTCCTCGCCCCTGTATGGCACACTGACTGTCACCGTCGCCTCCACGTCTCTTCCCCCTGACACCGTGTACTACGTCAACTACAAAAAGGCAGATAAGAACATCTCCCTCTATGAGAATGAGGGACCCTGTAGAGACCAGGGGTAAGTATTTTCATGTTGATAAATTGTATTGGTTATCTACAAAATATGATAAAGATTTAAAAAAAAACTAATTATGATATATGATTTTCATACAGAACTCTCACTCTCACTCTCTCTCTCTCTCTCTCTCTCTCTCTCTCTCTCTCTCTCTCTCTCTCTCTCTCTCTCTCTCTCTCTCTCTCTCTCTCTCTCTCTCTCTCTCTCTCTCTCTTTCATCAGTTGCACGTAATAGCAACACACACTTTACTAAACATGTTATGATTGCATTGACAAATTAAATTTTCATAGATTTCGATTTATTTTCACTTTGATTTAATTATTTTCTGTGATATTACATTGGAATTGAGCTGTGTTGTTTACCATTCCGTTCATTTCGTAAGTGTATGAATAGATGCCACACCTGTGACCGATAAAAACATGCTGTTTGTGAAAACCAGCGCCATCTGTTGCACGTAAGAGCAACAAACGCTACACTAATTATGTTACAATTCCATTTCATTGTTTCTGATTTCATTGATAAATTGAATTTTCATACATTTCGATTTATTTTCATTTTGATTTAATTATTTTGTGTGACATTGAATTAAACTCTGTGGTTTACCATACCATTCAATTCCTGAGTATAGTTTACTTTTGTATTTTTTCATTTTTTCATTTATTTTTTGAACAGTTTTTCTTATATTTCAGTGATGGGAACATAAGATCATTTGATGGTCCCAATTTTCTGATGGGAACATCAGACCATTTGGTAATGCATTGGAAGAGGGAGTAGGGAATAGGGGTGCAGATCGAGGGATGGGAATGGCGGATGGTTGGAGGACGAGGGAACAGGGGAGGGGGGGTATGGTGGGGGGAGAATGAGGGGATGGGGGAGTTGGGGACGGATAGGACGAGAGGACAGGGGAATGAAGAATTGTGGGGAGGAATAGGGACATGGTAGTGGGAGATGGTGGGAAGGATGAAGGGAAGGGGGATGGGGAAATGGTAGAGAGGACGAGGGGACGGTGGAGTGGGGAATGGTTGGAGGACTGGGAGACAGGGAAAGGTTGCTGTGCGTGCCGGGTATAGCTCGTATGTATGTATATATATATATATATATATATATATATATATATATATATATATATATATATATTATATATATATATATATATATATATTATATATATATATATATATATATATACAATATATTGTGTTTTGTGTTTTTTCTTTTTTGAAAGTTTTGTTGAACAAGTTACGTTGTCAGCGATAATTAGCGCAACATATCTACATATTGTGAGTACATCACACGTGCAGTGAGTCAGATTACAAGTGTGCGATTCATTCATCATTGTGCAGTGATATACGGGGAATTATACCAGTGTTAGTGTCGCCCTGACCCCCGCCCCCACCCAGCGCCCAGGCCGGGAAGTACCTGCTCTCCCCCTCCTTCCCCACCCTACCACGTCGCCTCCCCACCCACGAGGCCACCTTGCCACCCGCCCATAGAACCCGGGAGGCTCCCATGTGTGTCTACGCCACCCACTCACCCAATGTATACCCACATATTGTGTAGTGGGTGTATACCCACACTTCGTATAGAGGTGGTATATGTATTACCACTCATCTGAGTAGTAAGTGCCACGGCCAGCTGACTATCCCCCCAGCCTCCAACCACCGCCCACCCTCCAGTCTCCACCCGCCGTCCACCCTCCCGCCCAGCGCCCGCCCAGCGCCCGCCCAGCGCCCGCCCAGCGCCCGCCCATGTCGCAGCTCGCAACAGACAGCCAGGCTTCTCCAAGCCAAGATGAGCCATCAAGCAGGGGTAGACAAGGCAGATGTCAGACGTGTGACAAGGTATGCTATATCCGGTTGAGGGACGATAATGTGCGCTTTCATTACCACAACGGAGCCAGGTGTTTGGGTTCTGGGCGCCCTCCCAGGGAGAACACCAGTCAACAGCCCACACCGCCCGTAAGGCAAAACACCTCCCAAACCTTCATTCCCACAGAAAACTTATTAGAAGCTATTAAAGCAACATCAGCCAGAACCTTGCAACACATCCCTAAAGCAGCCCGCCCCCATGCAGCAGCCAAATAATCTGCCCTCCTGAGAAAGGTCAACGACTCTCCTGGAACGACCCAAGCATGGCACAACCTCCTACTGTTTGGCAACATATGACTAGCCACCCCTGCAAGGAGAGACAAGACCTTAGCTGCCTCAGTCATCAAAGCTATAAATGATTTTCCCAGGGAGGACAACCAGGTGCGCCTTCCCACTCGCGCAAGAAACACCCACGGCAGGAAGAGCAACAGTGCCATATCCGTGACATCAAAAATCAGAACATCAGTCACCAAGAAAATAGAAGAAGGAAACACTATTGGCGCAATAAGAGTCATCACCAGTGAGGACTCAATTGCCGACAGAGATGCCGCAACAGCTCAAGCCCTAAGGGAGAAACACCCACCCAGGGCTCCGCGTGAGGACGACATTGTACAAGTGGGGGCTACCGGAGCAGAACCTCTCTGGGTGGCTGAATCTGTGGTCCATAAAGCAGCCATGTCCTTCCCTACAGGATCAGCAGGTGGGTTCACAGGACTAAAACCCAACCACCTCAAGCAAATGCTCAACCCTGCACTGGGTAACATTGCAAAGAACCTCTTGGTGGAACTAACCAGATTCACCAACACATGTCTAGCTGGCAACATACCAGCGACCATAAGACCTATCTTTTTTGAAGCATCTCTCTGTGCTCTAAAGAAAAAGGATGGAGGGATCAGGCCAATAGCTGTGGGCAATTCTCTCCGGCGTCTCGTCGCAAAGGCAGCTGCAAGAACAGTTAGTGATGCAGCGGCGAACATGCTGAAGCCAAAACAGCTCGGATTCGGCATTCCACAAGGGTGTGAGGCGGCAGCCCATGCAGCTCGAGCCTTCATCGCCAATATCACAGACAAAAAGGCCCTTATCAAGCTAGATTTAAAAAATGCCTTCAATTTGGTGCGGAGGGATGCTGTACTCCGTGCGGTTCAAAGTCATTTCCCTTCCCTCTACCCTTTTGTACATTCATGCTACAGTATGGATCTTAAGCTACTTTTTGGCGAATATGAAATTGACTCAAGGGAAGGCGTCCAACAGGATGACCCCCTTGCTCCTCTCCTTTTCTGCTTAGTCATCAAACAAGTCACAGAGGTCCTGTCCAGCGAGCTTAACATCTGGTTCTTGGATGATGGTACCCTAGCTGGTTCCCAAGACTCCCTCCTGGAGGACATCAGAAAAATCCAGGAGCAAGGTGCAGTTTTGGGCCTCACCCTGAAACCTTCTAAATATGAAATAATATGTTCCAACCAGGGCATCGTAGAGAGAATAGAGGGTCTTCTGCCAAATATCCATAAAACTAAACCTGAAGACAGCACACTCCTAGGAGCTCCCCTTGGGTTGAAAGCCATCGATGAGGTCCTTGATAAGAAAATCGCCGACCTTAAGAGGATGGATGGGAGGATTGAGGATATTGATGCTCATGATGCATTCTACCTCATCAACAGATGTCTGTCCCTCCCCAGGTTAACCTACTTTTTGAGGTGTTCACCATCTTACAGTAGCCAAAAACTAAGTGAGTATGACCGGTTACTGAAATCAATGCTAGAAAAAGCCCTTAACCTCTCTCTTGATGACCTACAGTGGAAACAAGCCTCTCTTCCCGTAAGACATGGGCGCCTCGGAGTTCGAACAGCAACACAAATCGCTGTTCCAGCCTTCCTGTCCTCCTTATCAGCATCCGACGACCTTGTGAAGGAAATTCTACCTGCCCACTTACATCAGCTGGCAGGTGTACATGATCCTAATTTTACACGCTGTGCTACAGAGTGGGCCTCTCGTGCATGCCCATCACCTCAACCACCATCCCCAAAAGCCCACAAGCAATCCAGCTGGGATGGCCCCATTGTAGACCAAGTTGCTGCAGAGTGCCTGGGTGCTGCAACAACACAACACGACATTGCTCGCCTCACAGCAGTAGCAGCATCACATGCAGGGGATTTCCTGTTAGCAACCCCAATGTCGGCAACTGGCACGCGTCTCACACCACACGCCCTCCAAATTGCTGTGGCCCTTCGCCTTGCTGCCCCCAATCCACACCAGATACAGGTGTATTTGCGGCAAGGTGGTGGCTGACAGGTACGGCCACCTCTGCCAAAGCACAGGGGGATGGCACTCGAGGCACAGTGAAGTTAACGACATCATCAAGAGGAGCCTCACCACAGCTGGATGCCCAGCTGAAAGAGAGCCCCGTTACGTAACGCCCCGTAACTCTGATGCTCTTATTGGTCGCCCGGATGGTATCACAGTGAACCCCTGGAAGAATGGCAAACAGTTGGTATGGAACTACACCTGCGTATCAACCCTGGCTAACACCTACATTAACCTCAGTGTTGCACAACCAGGTGGCGCTGCCACCCACAGGGAACCAGCCAAATCCCGTAAGTATAGAGAACTGGATCACCACTGGATCACCACTACAATTTTGTCCCCATTGTTTCTGAGACACTCGGCGCCTGGGGTAAAAGTGCTACCAGTTTTTTGAAGGAACTGGGTTCTAGGCTCATTGAAACAACAAGGGACCCTAGAGCTGCCAGCTTTTTTTCCCAGCGCCTCAGCGTGGCGATACAGAGGGGAAATGCGCACTGCATCCAGGGTTCCTGCCCGCCATCTGAGGAGCTGGAGGAACTCGACAACCTATGATACCATTTTTGTAACCTGTATGTAACCCCGTTTTTGTAACAAAGTTCAAATAAAGCATATATATATATATATTATATATATATATATATATATATATATATATATATATATATATATATATATATATATATATATATATATATATATATATATATATATATATATATATTTATTATATTTATTTTATTATATACTTATATATACCCTTTTTCTTTGGAGCATCCCTTTGTGCCCTCAAGAAGAAAGATGGTGGAGTCAGACCCATTGCCGTGGGTAACACA